CATCCGCAGGTAGAAGCCCAGCATCACTGGCACCTGTTCCTATTGTAGGCAATCCATAGCCGATGTAGATTCGAGCTCAGTATACTCCAGAGGTGGCTAGAGCGTTGAGGCTCTCATTACAGCTACGGAGTTGATTATCTGACATGCACGCTTGGGGTCCCACCTCCAGTAAGCTCTTCTTCCTTCTCCGGATTTTCCATTGGGGCATTGAAGTAGTTCCTAAGATCTTTTTCATACTTCTTTTCTCATTGACTATTTTTCAAAAGCCCTGGGCAACGGACGTCATGGGGTCGATGTGGAACATGGAGATCATTTTCTTTTGCATGGCAGATCACACAGTCATCCAAAGGATTGAATGCCTTTTTGCTTATGTCATCAACAGCCTGCTCATTTTGATCGAAATGGGCAATCCTTGGGTTCACTTTCTTTCTCCTCTTGGCTGGAGACGATCAAGTTTTAGTCTTCTTCGTTGGTGGAATTCGTATATGGCTTTGAACACCCATTGTTTTTGGCTTCTGAGCATTTTGTGCTTCATCATCATGACATTGTAGTGCACCTGTGGGAGAGGCAACGGATGCGTTCAACGCATCCGTTAGTTTTCGTTTTGCAAACGGATGTTCCCCCACCTTTGTCATGCCGTGAGTGTTGGTTGCTTGATGTTGTCATTGGAACTTAGAGTTTTTCATAGTTTACCGAGTTTCGTGATGTTTTGAATCCTGTCACGAATGTCTAAGTTTCTACGCGTTTGGTTGTGAGATCTACGTCGCACGCTGCACACGAAAAGGGGTTCGATAATATCGCACCTTAGACATTCGAGATCACATCACACAGATTCATAGCTACCTATAATCTACGGAGGGAGGATTTGACTTTGTCTTCTGGGTGTTGTGCATCCCTCATCGTCGAAGAAACCATGTCCACTTCTCAATTAAGTCGGGTACTAACGCAATGGTCTATCGGCATGGCTGTGTCAACGCCTTTGGTCGCGATCCTTCAGGGCTCGTTGCTGCTGTCTAACTACAGGATAAACTACAGAGATGCACCCAGGCCAATAACGCCCTCAAGTGGCGTAATTGTTGCGTTGGCCCAACAAGGTGCGCAGGCCAGAAATAGAAGGGGCGTCCCGTTGACAAAAGCAGACAAACCACTTAGACTGCTCGTCGTTGGGGACTCCCTTGCAGCTGGTGTTGGTGTGTCAGGAAACGGACTTCCAATTTTGCCTGAATCAATTGCAAAGGCACTTTCAAAAGCCTTTCGTGGCCGCGTTGTCTGCTGGACATGCTTAGGGACGCCTGGTAAGGCGCTTTTTGCTTGTAAATCCTTTCACAATTCGTTCTTCCTTGTTCTAACTAGTTGTAAAAAGGGATTTCTGCTTCGCAGATTGTGCAAGACATTAATTCTATCCCAAAGCGTGAGCCTCGACGTCTTGAAAACTTATTTCAAGAGTTGAAAACCAAACGTGATAGGTGGAGACAACTTCAGAATATGGAGATGGAACGCCTTGATTATGAAGAAAGTACCAAGAAGCAGCAAAGCGTATTGCTCAAAATTATTGATTGGTGGAAAGCAGAGGAGAAGCAACCAATCAGTGAATTCGGCAAAGAAATAGCTGAATCTGGGGCCAAATGGTGGAAAACAAAGTCTCGTCGGATTCAACAGACTTACAGTGATATTAAAGAGGTAATTCATGCGAAGCCTCCTGGTGACATAGAGAAAAATCTAACAGCTGCTAAAAACAGCGAAGGACTTCTCTTGAGAGAAGGAAACATTTTTCGCAGGGATTCCTTGGATCCCTTTGTGGCATCTTCATTTGATGTCGCTGTCGTGTTGCTAGGCTTAAACGATCTGAAGGAAGCCTTCATGCCTCATATAACGAAGGGAGCGAATTCTTCTTTCAATGAGGGCGCGGAGCCAATGGATGGTGCTTTGACCAAACAGTTACGATCAGTTTTCTTTTCTCTAGAAAAAATAATGGGCAAAATGGACAACACGCAAGATCACAATGATGCTACCTTGTCGACCGAAGGAAGAGAGAAGGTGAACAGCTCTAAAGACCGATTACATCCTCCGTTGGTGGTAGTTCCGGAGCTTCCTGTTGCCCCCTTGGAGGTAACGTAGAATCATGATGAAAATATTGTATCATGCCAATTGTTGGATTATTCTTTCTTTTATCTTAACCCACTGTTGACTCACATGCCCTTTCCTTGATCTCTTTCTTCGTTCAATCATCAACAATCAATAGGCCTTCCGACTTGTCCCGTTATGCTGGATTCTTTTGCCTCTGTTTCGTGCAATGGAAAGAAACAAGAAATTCTTGAGTTCCACATTTCCTGACCATGTGGTTTTTATCGATCAGCCTGGCCTTGAGTGGTGGTCTGATGCAGAACGACGCCACAATAGCTACATGGAGGAAGACGAGTCCGTCCTCAGACTAACAGATACTGCTCAAACAGCCCAGGCCCGAGTAAAACAGCTGATGCAAAGGTTTTATAACCCAAACCATCATACTGTGCGCAGCAACGAACAGCGTGAGACGGGGGGTGGAAATGGCCGATCTTCTCTGACCAACAACTTTTCCGAAGAATCATACCGGTACAGACGAAAGTCAAATGGAACACTCTACATTGCACAGGACAAGATGCATCCCAATGATGAGGGATATGACCTCTGGGGTAGACACATCGCGGAAGCGGTGGTTCGCCACTGGAGTAGACCACAGGTTTGAGAAGCTTACTTTTTACAGTTTTCTACTTTGAGAAGGAACATAGTCATTCTATGCTTCTCGAAACACATTTCATTCACTGCGAAGGAGCGTTACAATGAAAATCATGTCTCGATACTAAAGGGTACTCAAAGCTTGCTTATAGGACGTCACCTATCCAAGAGCTTTCTGAATTTCTTGGATCAAATGATCCACTTGTTGCTGTTGGTTGGCGCTGCCTGCTTCCGAACTGACCTTCACAGTTATGATCATCAAGGCTTCTCCAGCTTTGCCAATATTAGACTGGATGAGAAACATATTGCCCGTAATTGCTTCCTTTGCATACAAGAAGAACTTGAACTCAGTTGGCAGTTCACCACTAGCCATAGTGACTACTGAATAGCCTGCAAGCTTGGATTCCACTTCACCTGTCGTTGCGGGGACGCTGCTAAGAGAGACAGCGGAAACAATGGCATCAGCATCACTAATACCAGCCCATTTCGATTGGTATTCATCCCCGGTCATTGTCACTCCCGAGGCGAGCGAAAACGCGGTAGGCGGGGATGCCTGCACTGGAGGAACAGAAGGCGCACCAAATCCTAGAAGATCAGCGACGAAGCCATCAGGAGCCGATGTTTCGGGAACTGGTGCTACCGCCGGTTCGCGGGATGCTACTACTGGTTGAGGCATCGATTGTGGCGCAACTGGGACATGGCCAGCTCCAAATGTATCACCACCCTCGTGCAGTGGGTGCTCCGCTGGCATCTTCTTGTAAACAACTTGAAACTCTGGTCGAATGAAGTTCACAGATGCCTTTCCATAGATTGTTGCGAGAGTGTTGAATTCCTCCATCAACTCTGCGCGAAGCTGAGCGTCATCGTCCTCTGTAAACACCCGTTCTCCAAGATTATGATTTGTTTGCACAATGGGGGCAAGAATAGTCTTGGGATCAGCACCAGATCGGAGCAAGCGGTAATACAACAGCGCTCTGTCATGAAGATCCTGGGATGAGACGTCGTCAGTAGCCTTGTGCAACAGTCTTCCCAACATTCGTTGCATCTCCGGTGGGCGTAGGAAAAATAGCTTCAAGCAGGCGTTCAAGAGTTGGTGCTTCACTGCGACATCCTTAATCGTATCATAATTATCAATTAGCTTTTCCAACGCGTATGGGGCTTCATGAATCAGGTCACCGCACTCGCCGAGGAGGTAAATAATGCTGGCTTTCCCAATTGGTTCTTGAACGTATTTCAGTGTTCGAACGAGAGACATGCTTGCCACTGGTTTCAAATCCGCGTGTTTGCGAAGCATCAGAGTGAGGGCTGTTGCAGCCTCTGACTGGACATGCTCTACGTTTGAGTCCAGCAATTCAACCATTCGCTGGGCGATGGACTCGGCGCACCCTGGTCCCCCGTTACCACGACATGCTATTTTCGCCATGCTTCGAACTGCCAGCCTACTAATCCGAGTATTTTGGTCAAAGACCATTTCCCCAAGCTCATTAACAATGTCTGGTGCGTTGTCGAGATTTGCTAGTAGCGGAAGAATTTCAATTTTTAGGAATTTGACGTGAGTTGGTTCATGATATCGGATGTAAAATTGTCGAAACTCGTCGTCAAAGGAACCAGGACACAACTCGACCAAAGATTCGATCTGCTTCAAAAGCACATATTGCACCTCCGATGATCCACTTGCAACCAATGTAATCAAGGGCGCCTTTATACGGCTTACAACTTGCTGCTTCATTTCTGTACAGTCCTCTGTTGATCCAGCTATTTGATCCGCCATGGAGAGGAAGGCTCGAACAGTCGCCAACACAGCGGCGCAAGAGGATGTTCTGAGGACCGGATCTAACAAGTTCATGATTTGGAAACCTTCGTCTGCATTCGCTGGGATATAGCGTGGGACTAGTTCCAAGACCTGAACAAGATCAAATTCGCTGAACTCGTGAATGCGATTCAGTAGATGAAGCATGATTGCCCGATTTATAGCCATTCCGCCATTCTCAGTCTTCGACATCACTTCATTAAGCACCATAATGGCATTTGCCACAACAGAGGAATCGACATCTCTTAGCCTTCAACCGCCATGGATAAATTAGAACACTAAAGACACCCAAGTGCTACACAGTGTCCAAGCACTTACATATCGTAGAGGATGTCAACAAAGCCGCATTGCTCGAAGGATTCCTTGTCGAGGTGATAAAGCTTCAAAATTCCCATGACTCCTGTCTTTCTTACATAAGCATGGTGGTCGCTTAATGCTATTGAATATCGGCAATGTTATCAATAGCCCCTTTCTGAATTCATCAAGCAGTAAAGTTCTTGATAACGTACCTTTCCTTAGGGGTTCAGATATGTATTCAACCATCTGCGGCAAGTTAAGACTACATAGACCTGCGCCAGTGATGAGAGTCAGAAACAGAGAGATACAGAGAAGAGATAGCTAACTGGAATCTTACTTCGTAGTGCAAGGCCCCTCACCATGGGGTCATCATTGCCACAATCCTTCTGTAAAGTGTTCGTACACATCTGAGCTAGCTCCGGGTGGGAGTAGGCATAGTTGCTGAAAAGAGTAATGGTGAGACTTTCTGACAGATTAGACACGGCAGACTGAGCACAACAACAGTAAATTCGCTCACCATAGATAGAGGTAGACCATTTTCTTGATAACAAGATCTCGCGTCTCAATTGCAAGCATCATTTCAGTAAAAAGTCTCGATACATCAATGCCTAATGTCATGTACGCAATCACTTTCTTGATGATATCTCGCTTCCTTTTTGGATCTCTTTCTGTTGCAAAGTTTCGAAGAAGGTTGCGGAGCTCATTCACTTCACCCTTCTTCGACTCAGTGAAATAAGAATCTGGGACTGGGGCAACTCCTGGTGGACCGCCAACTGAGACATTCACATTTGCATGTGGCGGAAACTGCACAGGTTGTGCGGTGTGGACGCCAGCTGGAACAACGGACATTTTTCAATACAGAAAATCAGAGCTATTCCAGAAGGATCTTCCAAAAAATGCTGTTATGATTCGATCTTATCTTCAGCATTGCTCTGTCGCGATTTGATTTTTCATTTTTCAAGTTTAGCGTACACGTACGACTAACGTACATAACGTACACAAATTCAATCTCATGACCACGCTGTGCATCTACCAGTGTTTGTGATCGTGTAGCGCAGAAGTGGTCAGTGAATCAGAAGTTTAATTTCAAACCAATATCCTGAATCAACAAGCCGAAGTTCTGGACAAACAGCTGGTGAATATCTTCCCTTATCCATTGAATCACAACTCGTAGGAGAGACAAGCATTCACGTTCCAACTGTCAAGCTCAATCAAATTTTGAGGCCATAAGGGAGACGGGACTTTGCAAGTATTTCCATTCTAAACTCATCAATATCCTCCATGCCAGGAAAAAGGGCAGCAGACATGCTGGCAAATTTCAAATCCAGTCTAGATCCATCAAGCGGCCATTCCGGGAGCTCTTTGCTTGCTGATATAAGAGAAGGAGCTGAACGTTTAGCAAATGAAGTTGATGAATACCTTGAAAGCACAAACCATTCAAGTATCAATCGAAGGAAGGAATCAAATCCTCTATCGGACGAGGGAATTGCTGACTTACAGCTGGTGACAGCTCGAAAGCTTCGAGAGGTAAGATGTACGATAGTTGGCCTCTGGGACAATTGATACCGATGATTTATGATTACTTGATTTGTTTGACTGATATCCACTCAGCCTTACTATATTATCTTGTGTTCTCATCAATTCATCTCATGCAATAACAGCTCCTACCCCAAAGCAGAGATCTGCTCAACAAAGCGCAAGAAAGGAACTGGATACCTCTGCTGTTGAATTGGCTAAATCTCCATGACAGACCAGCCGTACAAGTAGAATCACTGCTGGCGTTAACCAGTATCGCTGAACTATGCGCCCAGCAGTCGTACTATCAGCATACACAAGCACAATCTAGTGCAGTGGCTGCGGCCGCACAAGCAGCTGCGGCAGCTGTCAAAGGATCATCAAGCTCGGCATCCTCATTGTATTCGCTGGGAAATAACTCCGGACAGAAAAACAGTACACCAGCAACATATCCGTATCCACCTTTAGTCGCTCCCACGCCAGGTGAAAGTGTGCCTTTCCCCCCTCTTTCCTTCTCTCAGACTCTTTCTCCAGAAGCCATCGCAGCATTTGATGCAAGTCTAACATCTACGATACAGAACAGTCGCGTGTTTGAAAAGGGTAAAGGAAACAAGAGCTCCTTCTCTTTGCCTTCTGCAGCCTTGTTCGAGTCACCAGACCGACTGCCTGCTTCTGCCTGGACCCCTCCAACCGGAGGGATAAACTTTATTTCTCTGGCTCCACCTCCGGGACGCGTGCACCATGCAGTTCCAAGTAATGCTTTTCTTCCTCCTCCAACTCCTGTACCGGGTCCAATTGGAGGTTCGATGACGTCGTTTCCTCAACATCTTTCTCCCTCGGCGCAACATTTGTTGCTTCGGCATGCTGATGCCATACCCACGTTGATTTCTCTCGTTTCGAGTCCGAATCGTGAAGTCTACGAGCAAGCTTTATGGATATTGGGTAGCATTGCTGTCGGAGACTCTGCTGGCTCAAATTCTTCAGCTGGCAATACAGGAGCTTCTGGTCTAGAGGGAGGTCGGGACAAAGCTGTGTTTGCGCGCGATGTCATTCTTGCAGCTGGGGCAATGAATCAATTGATACGGTGTCTCGAAGCACACCCAGAAAACCTCTCATTGCATCGAATTGGAAGTTGGACAATGTCGAATCTTGTCGAAGGTTTGTTTCAACAACCAAGTCAAGGTAAGAATGGGAACAAATCCAGTGACTATTGTAGTCGAGACGAGATTGAGATCCATTCTCTGCTGCCACTGCTACGTCGCCTTTTGCACATGGCTGACTCCGAAGTTTTAAGCTACACCTGCTGGACACTCTCACATCTTTGCGATGGGCCATCATCGCATATTGCGGAGGTGGTCACGAGCAAGGATTCCAATTCACCCAAAGGCGGCCTCGTGCCTCGTCTTGTCGAACTCTTGCTGCATCCGAGTTGGAGAGTGACAAAACCGGCCCTCAGGACAATTGGGAACATCGTTTGTGCGGAATGTGGCGATGACAATAATAGCCACAGCACGACAACAGACTACACCGAGGTCATTTTAGAATGCAATGCCGTCCCGCGGTTGAAAGATTTGGTGACCCACGGCAATAGAGAAATCCAGAAGGAGGCCTGTTGGACGTTGTCGAACATTGCTGCTGGAACCGTCGATCAGATCAACGCTGTTATTCAGTCAGGCGCAATAAAACCGTTAGTTGAGCTAGTACAGGGTGAGAACACAGACCAAGAGGTTCGATCGGAAGCCTGCTGGGTCGTCTTGAATGCAACAAGCTGTGGCAGCGATGCGCAAATAGAAATTTTAGTTGACGAAGGTTGCGTGTCTGTTTTGGGCGTGCTTTTGTCTGAAGCCAGTATGGTCATGATGGCGTTGGAGGGTCTGGAAAGGGTCCTTCAAGTGGAGGAGACCCGAGAAATGGTGCGTAGAGAACAAATTGGGACTCGCGTTGCCGCAAGAACGCCTACTTTGGTCAGTGCTGAGTTGATCGAGAAAGCACGAGAAAGTCACAACAGTTCAGCAGTGACGAAACGAGCAGATCGCGTATGGAAACAGCACTTTGTATCTTGTGCGTTGTGTAAATTGTCTTTCTCAAAACACCGTCCATCAGATGCGAACTTCTGCGAAGAGTGTAAGTGCTATGTCTGCTGCAACTGCAATTGCCAGATCTACCACCTTTCGTACCAGGAAGAGCTTTGGGCTGCGACAGAGGAGAAAACCGAAAACAAAAAAACTTCCTCAAAGAAGAAGAATCGCAAGAAGAAAGAGAAACAGAAGCTAAAGAAAGCGAAACAAGATGCCGTTCTTCCTACTGGTTCCAAGAAAGACTCTGAAGTCTCAACAGAAGCATCATTAGCAGATGAAACATCAAAAAATCAAGATGAAAAGGAAGATGGTGGGCGAGAGCAAGAAACGCAAGCGGAAGAAAATGTCGAAGTAGCATCGAGCTCCAAACCTTCGGGCCTGACATCAAAGCCTTCAGGCGATGCCGAGATGCTCCAAGGACATCAGCCTGCGATCGATTTTGTACTCTACTTACAGCAAACTGGAAGTATCATTGCGCTGGCAAAATTAATGGACGCACTGGATTATGGAGAGCATTATGCTGAAAGTTTGGAAGATTCAGAGTTGAAACTGATTCTTCGAGAGCAAGCCACAAATTGAAAAGGCTTATGGTGTATCGTGTGGTGTTTGAAATTTTACTGTGACTCTATCTCTATCCATCTTACAGTGGCTCAAATCATTGCAATCGGAGAAGGTTGGGAGCATGATACAAAGGACAAAGTACCGCCATCTTGCGGTAACAGCACTTCATCATCTATTGAAGCGCTCTATCAAAAGGGAGGTAGTTTTTCAGGGTGTTTTTTCCTGGTCGAACGCAAAATTTTAGAGGCAAGAGCAACGTATAGGACCTGTTATGATTGTGTTGTTTCAAACTTTGCTCGCTCCTAAATTTTACCTATGTTAGAGGTATTATAATTATATCTACACTTGAGTTCTTATTTGAAAAGGTAACAAAGAAACGGTAGTCCAACATATCATTTCAACAGTAGCATTTGAAAGCAATGCTCAACATCGATATCCATGTATGATCACCCAAGTCAAGTAGATGCAGTTGAAGCGCTTCTACACTGACAACCCTGTTCCAACCCATCCAACTTTACCATCTGTAGCCGTGGATGGTAAATATGCGCTCGAGAATAAATTTGTTTGATGTTAACCTGGCTACCGTACCGTTACAAACCAACTACGATACATCCAATACGATATAAGTGTACAGGGTAGGGTCTGCAACTGGTGGGAGAAACAGACATAATGTGCCGTAAAGAAGAAACAAAAGTCGGCTGAGTCGAACAAATGGTCAATTGAGTCGGCCGAAAAAGGAACATGAATTTATGTCGTCAACTGCGACATACAGTGGAAGACGGGCCACTTTGCAGATTATAAATGTACAGGGTAGGGTCTGCAAATGGTGCGTAACGTGCCGTAAAGGAGACAAGTCGAACGTTGGGTCGATTGAGTCGGCGGAAAAAGGAACATGAATTTATGTCGTCAACTGCGACATGGTGCGATACAGAGCTACACGAAAATGTATACTAAATAAATAGCTTAATTGTTGACACCCAAACACCAAACCCCACCGTACATCTAGAACCAGCCTAGAAGAAGAGATAGGAATGGGTCACAACAAAAGTTATAGAGTCTCTCAGAAAGCCACAGAAAGGAGTGACGTGAGAGTTACTAGGCCTAAAGCTATGTATGTACCTCCAAAGGGTCTAATCTAGTTCCAAGGTCATTCCAAGGTCATTACACTCTTCCCTTCTATGATCAGAGCCAGTCGATTGATCATACACTAAAAGTCATAAGGCGTCCTTGCATCCACTTGATTCTCCATTCAACTTCAGAGGTGGTTCTTGACGCAATGGTCAATGCAAGCATATCGTCCATTAGACTCAACGGAACGGCACAAGCCGTCTGATGTTGATCCTCTCACGGATCGCATCTGTGCGCTGAATTTCCACTGTGCCATTAGTGTAAACATTTGTAATAGGATACAGACCTCTGTACTTCGGATCCAACTTCCTTCCATCAGTATTCTTGATCAAAACTTCTCTACCAATTCTGTAATCAAATTCTTTTTGCTTTGCATTCTGCCTCCTCAAGTTTTCATTGATCTTGTACTGTCTCTTTTGCTGCATAGAAAGTAGATCGACAATCACAGGAATGTTTAGTAGCATGTCACGATGAAACACAGTCTCACCAGGAGTATTGTTCATCAATGCTGTCGATACAGCACATCTCATTGCATGATTGCAAGCAGCAAGAGCTCGCTTGATTTCTTCAACAGCGACTTGAAAGTTTGGAG